CTATACAGGGTCGGAAAGTCCCCATGGTTCATCGGCCGTTACGTGAGATAAATAAGATCCACTTCTTAATTGTGGAAGGGCGAAATGGGCGGTGACTATTAGACGCCTTCATTATAACCATATTTCTCTATCGCACGGATTTCTTTGACTTACTTTATCGCTCTCACGTAACGGCCGATGAACCATGGGGACTTTCCGACCCTGTATAGCTACTTCCCATTTGAAATATTGACATTGAATGAATAATACTTTCTATGTGGGCAAGCTACTTTTGCCTTTAACTTTTGTTCAGTAAATAAAAGTAATAAATTTTACTCGTTATAACTATCTACAAGAGGAAGTCAGATTCCGCCAGATAGGGAAATCTAGCAAGCCAATTAAGGGGCCTCATGCAATTCATTTATGTGGAAAATGTTGATTTAAAACAATATTACCATTTGAGTTGAAAACAGAGCTATTCGATTTGATTACCAGAGCTGTGGAAGAATTCGTCTTAAATTGTCCACCCTGTAGGTTTTTTTTTATCAATGCACTACTACAACGTCTATTTAATATATTTCATTCATAAAACAACTAATTGAAATGTCAGATAATAAAAAGGCATTCCAGGAAGAGATTTATGTATATTTAAAGGCACTTTCAAGTTCAAACGTACTAGAAATTCCAGTAAATTTGATAGAAATCGAGTTTCGCACGAACTAGTTTTAAACAATGTAAACATTAGGGAAATTTTGAATGAAGTTTTGCAGGGGCGGTTTATTTACCTGTTTTATATTTTCCAGGAACACTCATAAAAGAAACAGCTACTACATACTATTCTAGGCAATTGCAACGATTGTGATGAATGATTCCGATGCTGAATAATCAGTCAATAATTATTGTTGGACTGGCAGCACATTGTCCACAGGGCATATGGGTTTGGTTCAAAATTAACATTGCAGTTTTGCGAACTTATTTCGGCACAAAAAATTCCCTTTTAAGATGCTTTATTATTCTTCTTCGCTCTCGTGGGCAATAGACAACTTACCGCACTTATTGGACAATATACTACTCACGGCAATTCATCAATTTCTAACAGAATATTTATATCCTGAACAGTGCTGATCTACCTTTATGGAGAAAAAAATATAGTTGCTTTACCTATATGTATGTGTATTGAAATTTGTCAAACATCTCTGGTTTTGCCCTTTTTCAGTTTAATGAAGAGACAAAAAAAGTTCCTTTTGGTTCACATACTTGCCCTTTTCCTTATTGAAGCTAATCTAAACCGCACTATTCCCAACAAATGCAGGACAATTTGCTTCCAAAATAAAGAAGACATCTGGAATTAATTTTATTTTAAACCCCTAAAACAATCTATGCTGAGTTACATTTTAATAATTTTATACCCAAAGGTTGTCGTGAACGTGTTTATATCCTTTCTAGAGGGTAAACACTGTCCTAACGCCTCCAGCAGCATCGGCTGCTTCAACACCGACTGTTTGAAATCGTTGTACGAAATCTTCCCATCTCTATCTAAATCCATTTTCTTTGTCAACACCTCCATCATGTCTTTGGCTATCTCTTCCGCATCTTCCTCTCCGCCCAGGCTAATGACCGACTGTTTCATCAGATGGAACACGCTTTCCCTACCCAAAATCCTCTCACCCAATGTGTCGTACACCGAAAAACAAAAATCGATTTTTTCCTCGAACGTCCCTCTTAGAAATAAGGATAAGCTGGAAGTCCAAGATTCCATGGACATAAATGAACTGGGGCCCTTGTCCAAAGTGTAAAATATCCTGTCCATCAAAAAGTCGTCAGTCATATCCAAGGCGCAATGTAAGATGTCCCGGAACTGACTCTTGTCCACTCCCTGACTAGGATCCTTGCTGGATTTCTGCATTTTGTAATAGATCAACAAAAGCTTTTCAACTTCGTTGAAGGAGAAATGGAACTTTTCCGCTAACCTGATGGCCAGTTTTTGGTACCTCTTTCGGAATCTGGTCTCCTCCATGGAGTCCATAGAAGAGTCTAAGGGTTGCCCCGACATAGGGTTGATCCTCTTCTTACATTTACCCATTGTCTTATCTGTGACCGATGTCTTTACATTTGTCGACCCCAATGTTTTTAAAAATTTAATCTTAAAATATAGGGCTCTTTATGTTGTTTACCACCCGCTGCTTTGGAAGAAACAAAATAATATAATGCAAAATATTTAAAAACCCCTTACTGAGTGACATTCGATATTTTGACAACTGACGTTTTTCACATATTTTGACATTCGACATGAAAAAGAAAATGGTAGTCTTTTATCATTTTTTTTCGTTTCGAGATAAATGACAAATCATATTTTAGGTTTGTCCTATAATTGTGCGTAATTGTGTGTATACAGGATGTCTCAATAAAAACTCCAGACGCCATTTTCAATGGAACGGAAAGAGATGTTTTAGTTTTATAAATTTGGTTTGGTAGAACTGCGAAATGGCTTCAATTTTGAGCTATAACTGTTACTAGTTACACTGGTTCATAGATGTCGTGGTGCTGCCAAAACTTTTTTCGATCCTAGAAGCCACGGAAACTAGTGTACAAGAAAGTACTTCTAATTTTTGTAGTACATTTAAAAATTTAATTGATTTCGAGATTTAAAATCACTGACTTAGGGAAAGTTTACAAAATAAATATTGAGAAGAAATGTCAATTAAGGCTGATTTACATTTCCTATGTAGAATTACAGTAAGCGGAAATCATTACACTGTAAAAAAATCACTCAAATTCACTCAATTTCTGTCCATACCCAATTGACTGGAATTTTCACTCTATTAGTATGACTACAACTAATATTTTATGAGTGAAGCTATTGCAACAGTGAATGAATTTTATTCAAATACGAATTTCAGTTAACTATTAAGTGAGTGACTTTTGACCCTAAAAATTAAGAGTTTACTTTTTATCTAATGTGATTTAAATTTAAATATTACCTACTGAGTAATTTTGTACTATGAAAATTTCCAAACTACTAAGATACCATAGTGGTTTCTACACAGATCTGTTTTAGAGATAATATTTTAGGTTTTGATTATAGGAATTGGTTAACTGATCGGACGAATATACTGCCATAACCTATATTGTCAGTTACAGATACATAAGTAACACTCAATATATTATTGTCTTTAATTTCTGCATTTAAACATAATTTTCACCAAAATAACTGGTGTCCGTCACTACACGCCATACACCACGTCACGGGATGACCTAATGGAGACGATGGGAAAAGACAAAGACAACGCACGACAACCATGGGGAGGGGTCTCTCAATAAGGAGGACATTTAATTCGATTTACCTACAAGTGCATCAAATACGAGTTTATCTGCATAATTTATTTAATATGTACCTATATTTGAGTGAAAGTACTCAGTTTTAGTTCAAATATGAATAAAATTATCAAAATGCTCAATGAGTGAAAATGTACTCAATAATTTCACTCAGTGGATTCACTCTATAGTCTAAACATTTATTGCTTTCATTCACACCGATTTTTTTACAGTGTAGGAACACTTGTCCTAAGAATGAAGAATAGTTGATGAACTAGGAAGATAAGACAAGAGATAATATTTACCTAAACCTTTTGAGACTGATCCTCTTCTAGTTCATATAAACATAGTTATGAAAATTTCCTAGAAAAAAAATTTTGTATTTTAAGTCCCTTTTTTTTAATTGAATCTTTGTCTTTTTTCATATACTTTCACATATTTTCCCTGCACCGCCGTTCTACTGAATGAAATGATTGAAGATTATTTGTATTGATTCCTGTACTCTTCAAACGTGTTCAAAAATTGATTTGGATACCAGTTCAAAAGTAAAAATTTAATACCCTCTAAGTTTGAACCAAGCATTTCTGGACTAAGGTAGGTTGACTTAAATTAAATGGTTTTTACCTCAGGCATCTACGATTACTATATGACTACTGTTTTCTGGAAGACACGCTGTAACAACGAGTAACTTATATGAACATATAAACAATAGTTATAAAGCTTATAAAATCATTGGTTATACTATAATGAGGTCCTAAGGAAATTTGAATTTGGAGCACCACGTAGGTATAGAATTTAACATGTTTTAATATAAAAAGGTTTTGAAGTTTCCCTTTTAACACAACAGAACTGAACAAAGTCAGCAAATTTTTCAAGTACTTTTTCCGGAAACATGATCAAAATTGTCACCATTGGACTCATTCATACAAGCTATCGCTGCGCGTATTCACAACTATATGCATGCCATTAGATGTGAGTCTTCCTGTATTATTTCAGATGTATTTTTTATGCGTTAACGTAATTTTCCCAGTGTGCTCACTCCAGTCTTAGTGCGCTTTTACAGGCATCACTTTAGAAAACCATCGTGCGTTAATCATCCAACATGAATGAAAGGTAAAGATATAAACAGTAAATAATTTGAAAGTAACCGTCTGGATGCTTTTATCTAGATTTTGGTCATATTCGCTTCAAGAGTTTATCCATAGACATTTTCATGAACCTATGAAAATTTTATGTATTTTCTAGAAAAATCTGCACTTTGTGCATTAAAATACAGTTCTCTGTTGCACCCTGTACATTTCAAAGGTCAGTTTTCCCGAAATAATAATGGCACATTTCAGTTAGTGATTGCTTGCAGTTTACAATAAAGATAAATTGAACAGATTCTAATTAATCGCCGCTCAGTGCCATCTGGTCGTGCACAGGAAGACTCCGGCATGCATGACATTACCCAAATACTAAAACAAAAGAAGGGAGTGCCGTTACCGTTCCCTACCCTAATAATCATAGATGGCATTGAAAAGATTCGATCGTTTCTGACAAATTACCGCCCGCGTAAAATGTTGACACGTCCCTATAATTTTATTCCTTACTCCTTTTATCGATATGATAGCTCAAGGTGGTTCCTTCCACCTTGGCGACTTGTAGGTGCCCCGTAAAATAATTTATGAATCGGGAACATACGCGGTTATTCTCACATGTATTTATATTAAATGTGCTTCCAATGCGAAAGTGGTTCTTATGTTACTGCATAAATTATATTCGATATTAGTTTTCTCCATGGTAACGCACACAATGTTTTTCAATAGTTAAAAACAAGATTCAATTGAAAGTGCATTGGCAAGATTATACGAGAAAAAGCGATACGAAACAAACACAAATGTTTGCATGTATAACTGAAAAGCAAAATACAACTAAAATAAATGAACCATAAATCTAAGCCGACTCTGTGCATCTTGTGCACGTGCGTTCGAACATAAAATTTAAACTGTCAAAACCGCCACAGCGTTTTCGCACTGCGGCGCGCGGCAACTTCGATATCGTACAGCTGGCTGCCGAACCAGGGACGGCTTTAAATCTGTTTAAACATCGATGTGATTTTTTTTTCAATTACGTAAAGTTTTAGACCATCAGTTGCTTACTTTCGTGTCCTCTATCACCCTTTTCAAGAAACGCACTAATTTCAGAAACACTCCGTATAAATAAATTCAGTACTTCTTGAATATCTCGAAATTTATCAGAGATAATAAGTACAAATATTGATGTGTATGTATTAACCTGTGTATAATACCAAATATACATATATAAAAATAACACTAACATGTACGAGTTAATATACAGGGTGTTCGAAAACAAATGGGGTAGCCCCTTTGGACGAAAATACACTGATTTAGATGAATATTTAAGGTATAGACTTTCCGATGTCAATTGAAGAACCAAGAGGTTGACAGTATGTACCAGGTTCGGTCACTGACGCAGCAACTCGGCATTGAAATATTTGAAAAACTTGTTCCCATATTTATTTAACCATACCCATATAAAGATCTGGTCGAATGTATACGCCCAGTTGAAGAATGCGAGCGCGGGTAAACGAAATACAAACACAGCTGCATTGGGCCACTGGGCAATAAATCTCAGCTGTTGACAAGTGGTTGAAAAATTGCCCAGCAGTGCAGTGCAGCAATGCGGAATTTGGTGTGATTCGAGTAATTTTAATTTATTATAGGTACCTTCTATTAATCATTGATAATACAATTGCGAAAGGTAGGAATAATATTATTATAACATCGCTGTTTGTTTATTAGTCTGTTAGTAGTAAGTTAATTCAGGCGTAAGTTTGTTTTGCTAGTAGTATTGCCATTTTGTTATCAGATAGGTCAAGGAAATGGAATGTCAAAATAAATAAAAAAACAAGTCACGTCAAAAACGTTATCGGCGTTATTATTTTAAAATATAGAATAATTCATCCCGAACCAGAAAATACAGTCCACTAGAAATTTCAAGAAGTGAATCAAGAAAACAAACATATGATCCGGCTCGAAGGACCAATGGCATTTTGGAGACCTTTTGAAAAGGAACAAAATGAAATTTACCATCAATATAATAAAATTGTTTGGGGACATAAATAATTAAAATATGTTGTTGGCCAAATGAACATATAATATAAATTTTCTACACATTATATACAAATTATTATAATTTTTTACCTTTAGCAGAAAACTTTTTTAGGGACGCCTATGAAAATCATTAAATTTTATTGCCAGGCGTTTTTTTACATGTTCAACTGACTTCGGAAAGACTATACGAATAGAATTTCAATAGAATTTGATACAGGAAGATTTTTGGTGTAGCCAAAGATGAACATAGGTTTATTTCTGACCTACATCATAGAGATCGCTAAGAATACATGAAACAATCTTTAATTTGTTGCCATACTCTTTTTGTGGTTACAGATTTTTGGCAAATGTTTAATGTATCTTTACTTAATTTTTTTTTAAATATATTTGCATCTATTGGGATATGTACAATATACAAGTATACCCTTAAATGTTACTTCACAGAACAACATTTTTGTGGGTTGTATCTTATTAGATACTGACATATAAATTGTTATTGTAAATCGAAAAAAATATTCAATATAGGTACAAATTCAGGAAAAAATTAATTTAGTTAGAATGACCAAAAACTTAGCTGTCTAACTGACAGCTGCAGTAGAAAATTGAAATTCTGTAACTGACA